GAATAGAACTATAAGGCTCAAAATTAGAGATAGAACAAATCCACATGACAAACCTCTATATGAATAAAAGCAAATGCTGGATTTTGATGCATAGTAGATTAGTAGGTACGAAACGTAAAATTGAATAGAGGACTTGCAACGGTAATTCTTCCTAATGAGGGACTGAATAGCTTTTGACAAGTTCTATCCTCACAAACTTTAGCTAAAGCATTAAGTAAATCTTCTAGCTATCTGGTACACACACAGAGAGGAAAGATTCATATTTTCTCTCTATATCCCCGGTACTCGCACAGATTGTAAAATCTAGAATTTGAATTGATGGTACACAAACATTAAACATCAAACACCAAGGCAGTTGAATTGGAAGCTAAAATCAATAATTAGGTATTAAGCAACACAATCCCGAATACCTAGAAATCAAATAAAGATAAGTAACAATGATTAGAGTGCTCACAGGTACTTGAAGACCAATTTCTTTGATGCTATCCATGAGTTCCTTCACTTTGTTTGGGTCATTAGCTCTAGTTCGCATCAGGGGTCTCCTTATCTTATCTAGAGGAAGCTCCAAAATCACCGGACCCCCACTTTGTGAACCAGATCCCGGAGGAGCCCCTAGCAACATTCAACCCAACAGAGAACCCAATTGAATACCGTTAAAGATAAATATTTTCATGCAAATTTACATACTTGAATCTGTGAGTGACTGTTTGTGTAATCTGAAAGGTAAAGATTTCAACTTTGAGGAGGATTTTGAGAGCAGAACTTAATGAATTGAACAGAATTGCAAGAATTCCAAACTATTGGAGATACCCGCATAAAGTAAATGAAATCCATAGAGAAAGAGAGTACCATTTGCCGAAGCAGAAACAGTAAAGCTCCTCAAGTTGGGTACTTTCAGAATGAAGCTCGCCATATCCTTTCTGTAATATCCAGAAATGAAAGATATACAATATGATGGCACCTGGTAACGCCTAGACTTTGTGAAACACGTGACTTTAATCATAGCCACAGAAATAAAGGTGCAAACTACTAAGCAGTACGATCAACATCAACGGGAAGTATTAGGACGGTCACAAATTCGATGGCTCAGATTAAAGAACACCCATCATACAAATTTCACAATGCAAAACCTTCAAATGAGCCCTCAAACTTCTTCACAGTCAGCAATTGGTGCCTTACTTTTTTCAGGTGGCAAAACAGCCTCTGCTTAACGGTTTGATGCTGCGTAACTCGCACGTTATGAATTGCGGTTCTTATTTTTATTTTTTTACTCCTAATAATGAATTGGTGAAGGCACTTGGACCTTTGAACCCAATAATATTAAGTTACACCTTAAATTTTAAAATATATCTCTCTCTTTCAAACAACAATTCAAATTCGATGTTTTTGGATTTGTTAAAATAATAATAATAATAAAAAATTGACGAAGATGGGTGGAGTCAGCGGAAAAACAAGATATTTTCTATTTTTATATACATATCTTAAAGTCGAAATTCAAGTACGACCCACATGCCGTGTTTGATATGGTGCTGTTATAATGAGGCTAAACTGTTTTCTAACGTGAACATGAGTTGCACTGTGCTAAACCGTTAAGTTGGTTAGCTAACTTCCTAGGGTCGTGTGGTAAAAGGCTTAGTAAATAATACAGGTGTTTGAATTGATTATTTAAGTATAATTGATAATGAAAATTTAATAATTAATAATAATATATATAATTTAAAATATTTAATTTATTTAATTAAAGTCAATAATCAATAATTATTTACAAAATATGACCTCCAATAACCTTTTAACTTCCTTTTTCTTTTGTGAATTAAAGAATATGGGAGTATGGACTTTTATTGTGTATCCCAAACTTTTATTTTTGGTACAATAACCTTTTACGCTTTAGATAATGGACGAATAACATATACGCTGTTTGTCATCATCATTAGATAAAGTATCTTGCACCCATTATTATGGAATTCTAATCATCTAATAGTTAATGTTGGTTTTTATTTATTTTTTTTCTTTTATAATGTTCTTATA